GCTGTCCCGGTCATTACCTGGGACGCCGGCTGCCCCGGGCGTCGGGGAGGGGACGGGACGAGGCTGTCCCGGTCATTACCTGGGACGCCGGCTGCCCCGGGCGTCGGGGAGGGGACGGGACGAGGCTGTCCCGGCTGTTACCCAGGATGCCGGCCGCCCCGGGCATCGGGGATGGGATGCGACGAGGCTGTCCCGGTCGTTACCTGGGACGCCGGCTGCCCCGGGCGTCGGGGAGGGGACGGGACGAGGCTGTCTCTGCCGTTACCTTCACAGCCGCTGTCCAGTTGGCCACGTGCATTGCCACCGAGCTCTCAACGGTGTCAGCCTTCTCCTTCTCCTGCAGGACGTGACTGAGTTTGCGGGCCAGGGCCTCCTGATGCTCGGTGGCCTGCAGCAGCTCCAAGCCCCAGCTCGAACTCAACTCTTTCAGCTTCTCAGCCTGCAGGCGCCCGTCGCCCAGCCGCCCCTTCTCCGCCCGAATCTGGAATTTGCAGTGCTGCAGCTGCATCAAGGTGGGCTCCCAAATGCGCAGAGCCCGGTGGTACCAGTAGATGGCGCAGATCCACTGGCACAGGGCAGCCGCGGCTTTGCTGACACTCTGCAGGGAGGCAGCGCAGAAGCTCTCGTCCGACACCACGTGGCCCAGAGCCTGGAACAGGTTGTTGGGGAGCTCGTCCTTCGGGTAGAAGAGCAGCTCCTGGAGAGCAGAGAGGAGAGGGGTGAGGCTGGGCTCGGGGAGGGGGACTCATGGCGCACCCCAAAGCCAGATCCTGACCCCACATAGTAGAGCCCCGGGTGGCCCTATTTGTTAATCCCACCCCACACTCGTTCTTGCATTTTTATCCCACTTCCCCCAGCAAAACCAGCAGCTCCCAACTCCCGCAAGAGAGAGCGAGTGCCCCATCTATTAATACCCAAAGTGAAGCGTGGCCGGGTCAGACATGAGCTGCAGATACGTGTTTTACATGGGACACTGAGGAGGGATTTACTGTTTTCCTGCACGTTCCTGCCATGGGGTTGTTTTGCCGCCCACAAAGTGCATGTTATCCACCTCGACTATCATGGCAGGCAGGATTGCCATAGATTCCAGGGCTTGTCCTGGAGTCTCCAGGAATTAAAGGTGACTCTTTAATTGAAGCTTATGTCATGGGATGGCCCCTCCAGGAATATGTCCAACCAAGACTGGCCACCCTAATGGAAGCGGGTCCTGCGGGCCCCCAGTCCCACTGCAGGGCTGTACCACAGAGCTCCCCCCAGAGCAGCGGGCTCTCCTCTGCCTTCGGCAGGTGAGGGACATTGCACGGCATGCCCTAGAGACGTGGGGGATGTGATGAATGTGGGAATGTTTGGAAATGGTTTTACGAACTATCCATCTGTCACGGACTCTTGTCTATGTCCTTGGGAGTCACCCAGGACCCACACAGCTCCATGGGGACAGGCCGGTGACCTTCAACACTCCAAAATTGGGCCTTCGGGTGCCAGCGACCCCTGTCTCTCGCCATGTTGCCTGCAGAGAATCCGGCCAAGCCAGAATCCAGTGGGAGACTTATACTGTCCCCTTCAGGGTGCAATGCTCGTGTTGGAGGGTGTTGGCCCCTCACTGACACTGAGGGGGGGTTGATTGGCCCTCTCCCAGGACCAAAAGGAAGGGGGAGGGTTGATGGGAAGCCAGGCCCCTGAGACTGACAGGCCCCACGGGCAATGGGGAGAGGCCAACACTTCCAGTCAGCCTGATTGACAGGGCGCGTAGGCCAAGGGGGGGCCTGAGCCAGAGGGGCCAAGCTAAGGGGGGAGCAGGGGCCCGGGCTGAGCTGGGAGCAGAGCCGCAGCCAGAGCCGGGGGGCCAGAGCCAGAGGGGCAGCCCAGGGAGCTGGAGGCAGAGCAGCAGTGGGGCTGGGAGCTGGATCTGGGGGGGGGGCGGGGCTGGGGACTGGGAGCGGGAGCTGGGGGTGGGGCTGGGGCTGCAGCCGTCC